CTGGCTTCTTGGCCAGACGGTGAGTTCCCTGGGGGCAGGAACGGTCTGACTCCTGTTTGGTTTCCTTGTCTGAGCCTTGGTGGGTGTTGCGGGGGGGTGTTGGCTGAACCAGTCTCCACGTGGACTGTGACGCTGGATGGTGGGAATCACAGGGGCATCCCTCATCGTTGGCATCCTTCACCTCTGTACCAAGTGCAATGTTATGTACACACGTGGAGCCTATTAAATACTTGATGCGCTAATGAATTCTATGATAGCAATAATAATAAAAATAATTAGATGGCAATAATGACCATAATGGGGAACATTAATAGCCCTATCCTAAGTGCTCGGTACCTGAGAGAAGACAATTAATTCTCTTACTACCCTCATTTTCCAGATGAGGACATGGAGGGTCAGAGGAGTTAAGAACTTGACCGAGGTCACACAGCTGGGTGGCACAGGCAGAACTTGACCGTCAGTACCCGTCCTGCACCAAGCTCTTGGGGACCACTGCAGGCTGCCTCCCAGCCGCTCAGAGAGGTGTTGAAATGTTAAAAAGCGCCTTGTGTGAAAACAAAGAGAAAGGTCTACTAGACATTTCCACTCCGCTCCAAGGGACTTCTCTCCAGGGCCGTGGTGGGCTTGCACTGCGCCGTGCGCCTGATGGTGTGCGGAGCTTCATACACCATCCATCTCTCATCAGAGGGGCAGAGAGCTCTGAGGCTCACGTTGCTTAAGGGAACAGGGTCAAGGTCACCCAGGCAGCAAAAAGCAGAGCAAGGACTTAAATGAACATCTGTCAGCTTAAAAATATATAAAATCCAAGCGTTAGATATAGAGCTTCTCCAGATTCAGAGCTTCTCCGTGCAGCTTAAGATTAAATAAATTGATCCATGAAAAAAGCACCGAGCAGCTCCTGGCACCTGGGACATCTCTTAAAAATGTCAACGCTCATCATCTTTATCAACAACCTCTTGAAAACTAGACTTTTTTTGGCCGATGAATGCAGCCAGTCGACCCTGATGGAAAGATTCCTTTTTTTCGTTCATCTCGGGTAATGTTGAAATGATGATCAATCCCCATCATCTCTGAGGGACCATAGTCTGTTCCGAGCTGGAAGGGAGAGTGGAGATGACCTCATCGGGTGCCTGCATTCACCCACGGAGAAAAGGTCAGAAAGCTAACACCAGGCAGGGCCGAGCCAGGGGCAAGACTGAGGCACAGTGCCCCCACACCACCTCCCACGAAGATGGTCTTTCACCTGGGAGGGCGTCTGGGTTCCTCAAGTCTACAGGGAAGAATTCACTGGTCTCCCCGGCTGTGAGCTCCAGCACCCAGCCCCACACAAATCAGTAAAGCCTTATAAGCCATTAACCAGAAAGCAGATCATGTGACTTAATTCCACCTCTGCTAAAGGGCTTAAAATGCTTCGGTGAGTAGCTGAGATTCATAAATCGACACTTCAGCTCTTTTTCAAAGAATTATTAACCAGCTCCATCAGGACTGGAACTTGAGCAGTCAAGGAGAAAAAGAGCTGGCACGAGAAATTCCCTGCCAAACACTTTGACCCCCAGGGTTGTCTTCCTGCCCCCCCCCCACCGGAGTCACAGGAGGAAGGAGAGAAGCATCATTATGTAAAATGGGGACTAAGAAAATGAACCGTGGAAAAGTACTACAGGGTCTTCCTACCTCAAAGTCAGATTTCAAAGGAGCATCACAGGGTGTTTGCAGAAAGACAGAAAGGTGGGGAGGAGGAGAAGCAGAGGAACTGCCCTGACTTCCCTCACAGGCGGAGACGGGCTGAGCCCACAGGCTGCGGGTGTGGTGCTCTGGTCTCCCATTTACACTAATGATTTTGGGGAACCTATAATTTATGGAGCCCTGGGATACTCATCTCTCCAGCCCACTGAGCACTAATTCTCCCAGGCGTGGAACCAGCTTTTCATTGTACATGTAGGTCTCCATCAGCTTTAGCTTAAGGATTTGGGGGTGGGGAGGGACGGACAGTGGAGAGAAATGAGATTAGGGTCAGTCTTCAAAGGGAAGGAGCAGGAATAGAAATGCTCTCTGTGCGGTTCCTCCAGGCTTTATGCTTCTCCAGAAAGGGTGGAATTCAAGCCTGGAGAACAAGCTTCCAGCCGCCCACCCGCCTGTTAACAGCTCCTGGAACGCAAGGGCTGCCCTCCTCCACACCTTTATCAAAGTCAAGCCATTTCCCACATTCCTTCCTTACACAACCCAGGCACACGCGTGAGTGACGCAGGCCTCAAGCACATTCTGCTTGGGAGATCCAGGAAGCTCTGGCCTGGCCCTCCCTTCTGCAGAGGAAAGTCCAGGCAAAGAGGGATGCCACACCTGGGGGGAGGGGAGGGAGGATGTGACGGCACCTCCAGGAATGCAGGGCCCACGCAGGTGCGTTGGCACTCATGAACTTCCTTCTTAAAAGGCCTGATAAATCAGTACCGATAACAGTAATAAAGCTCAGCCACCCCACAACCAGTCACACAGACCCGGCCCGCCCTAGGCCTCGCCCCGAATGAGGACAGGAGGGTGACAGCTGAGACTGCAGGTGTCCTTAGAGGTTGTAACAAGTTTTCTAGTTCATCAGTTATCACGGTGTGCTCCAGGGATCCCCCGAGAGTCCCTGAGACCTTTTTAGTGGGTTCAAAAGGCCAAACTGTTTTCGCAATCCTGTCATTTTTTTTCTTATCCCCTACTGCCTCATAAATGTATGATGGAATTTTCTAGAGAGGACGTGACATGTGATGACATCATCACAGGTGACTCTTGGCACGTGTGCTTCTGTATTCTTGTGTTTTAAACATCTCAGTTTTAATTCTAAAATGATACTGACAGAGCACATAAACAAAATAAGTTTCCTGTAGTTTTTAAGATACTTTTTAGTTGCAGTTGGACACAGTAATCTTTATTTTATTTATTTTTATGTGGTGCTGAGGATTGAACCCAGGGCCTGGCACGTGCTAGGTGAGCGCTCTACCGCTGAGCCACAAACCCAGCCCCAGTATCCTGTAATTTTTAATAGTGTAAAATTTGAGACCCCAAAAGTTGAGAACTGATGTACTAATTCAAACAGTTAAAGAGTGTCAGGCGGGTGGCCGTCCATCACACTGAGTTTCAATCACATCAGCACTTTCTACCAGGGTGTGGGGAGGCAGGCTTACCATTCCATCAGGTGGCCTGACAAGCCTTAAAATCTTTCTATTTTTCTTTTCTTTTCTTTTTTTTTTGTAGTTGTAAATGGACAGAATGCCGTTGTTTATTTTTATGTGGTGCTGAGGATGGAACCCAGTGCCTCACACATGCCAGGCAAGTGCTCTACCACTGAGCCACAGCCACAGCCTTAAAATCTCCACAAACATTTGATGAACCGGATCCTCCAGGAGAAAGATGCTCCTCACTTTTGAACCCGGGGAGCAAAGGTAGCCAGGAAAAACCAACCCAGCTCCAGCACCCGCAAACACAATTGTGTCAGGCTCTGTGCCAAGCGCTCCCTGTGGGCAAAGCACAGGTGGGAGTTCTCATTCCGGGTGGTGGCAGGTGATTCGTAAAATTCAAAGAGAAATGAGAAAACTGGAACTTGCCAGAGGCTGGGCAGGAGAGGTACAGGTATCAGGAGGGGTTCGCCGTGAATGACGCCCTTATGCCACTTCCCTCCTTGGAAACCCCAGCTTGCCACCAGCGCAGCCCTGTCCTGGCTCCCGGTTCCAACAGCTTGAGCCTTCAGGGGGTGGGGGCTGCTGGGTCCCCTGCAGCCATAATCTGCAATCTCGCCTCCCCAGGGCGCCGAGAACGGTCGGTGCATTAGAGAAAGGGAACTGAACACAGTCCTGAAGCTGGCGCTGTGGAAACAGCAGCCAAGAATGGCTGGAGGGAGACTTCAGAGGTTCAAAATTAAAAGAAAGCCCCGAGAGGCCGCTGCAAACTGCTCGGGCAGCCGGGACCTGCGCGGAGCCCTCCGGCCTGGGCCGCGTTCCTCCCTTCCCGGCGCGCACCCGGCGCCCGGGCCCTGCTGCAGGGCAGGGAGGTGCGGAGCTGCAGGGCAGGGAGGTGCGGAGCTGCAGGGCAGGGAGGTGCGGAGCTGCAGGGCAGGGAGGTGCGGAGCGGGACCGAGGTTCTCCCGGGTAATGCTGCACACGTGGGAAAACTTGAATGTTGCGACCAAGAGTTGCAGCCGACACGAGAGGGTAGCCGAGGGGCATCCCGAATGGACGAGGAGGAGGGTACGGGGAATCCTAACAGCCCCATCGTGCCACGACGACTGACAAGGACGCGCGCTCCAACCCCAAGCACAGGCATCTGACTGGCGCGCGCCTAGCAACGCGAGCTCCAGCTGGGCAACCAGGCGCGCGTCCGCGCGTGCGCAATAAGTTCACATCTCTAGATTCTCCACCAGGTGCGCTCGCGCTTCCGGCCGGTCTCCCTGCGCTGCCTTCCCGGGGCGGAAACTCCAGGGTCAGCGCATGCGCCTTCCAGATCTCTTGCTGGGTCCTTAGAGTAGGCCCACGGCTTCAGGTGATCCCGCCCCTCCCTTGAAGCGCGGGACCAATTGCGTGGCTGTGGGCGGGGATTTGGAGAAGGCGGTCCGCCCATGCGCCGGGCGAGCCGTGTATCGATTGGTTGGCGCTGCGAGCGCAGGTGCGCGCTTCCTATTGGGTGTGGGCGGAGCGCGAGCGGCCGAGGCTGCTCGGAGGCGGCAGGTGAGCGCGCGCACGCGCCGCGGCTCTGGCCTGCTCGGGTTCGCGCGCGCGGGCGCGCCGAGGAGGAGACTCAGAGCGAGGCTGCGGAGCCACTGGCCTCTGCTCCGCCCTCTCCTCCTCCGCCGCGGCTGCCGCCGCCCCCGAGGCACGGAGGGAGGGAGCCGCGTCCCCGCCCGCCGCGTCGCCAGTCCGACCCTCGGTCCCGCCGAGTGAGCAGCTCTCCCAGCCGAGCTGAGCGCGGCCCGCCCCAGGCGCGGCCGCCCCCTCTGCAGGTGCCTGTGACCGGGCGCCGCTCCGCAGCCGCGCTCCGAGCCCGCCGGCCGCGCACTCGCTGCCCGCGCTCCTGAGTGGCGGCCGGCCCGAGGAGGCCGCCGCGGGCCGCGCCTCAGCATGAACCGCGGCCACCGGCACGGGGCGGGCAGCGGCTGCCTGGGCACCATGGAGGTGAAGAGCAAGGTGCGCGGGGCCGGGCCGGCGGGCGGGGGGCTGCGGGGCTGCTGCGGGGCTGCTGCGGGGCCGGGGGACTGCGGGGCTGCGGAGCCGCCGAATCGGGACCTCTGCACCGCGGCAGTGGGGGCCGGGGGCTGGGGGCGCCGTGGCCGCTCCCGACCCCGGCGGGCGCCTCATCTCTTCCCTGAGCCTGGTTCTCGTTTTCAGGGTGGGGGTGAGGGCCAGGTGTTCCCGAGCATGGGGAGCGTTTGAATGCAAGGTGCAGCAAAAGGTTTGGGGGAATCCTACCTGCTGGGCACGGGTACAAGGCTTTTGGGAAACCAAGTTGTCACATAATGTCCCCCTTTCCGTGGCTCTGGGGTGCATCGAGTAATGAAAGGGGATCCCGGTGAACTAAGCAACCCTCTTAAAGTTAGATTTGCTTCCTCCTGTGGCTTTTTCTAGTTCTCACATTGGTATGCATTTAATCTATGAAATTAGCACTATCACCTTACCTTGGAGTGGCACTCTGCACTCGAGTCGCTGCTCTTTTCATTCCACCTTGCTACCTTTTCACATTAAGTGCTTTCACCCTTGACCACCGGTATGCCAATCTGCTGATAATTACTTTGGTATCCACCGAATTCCTAAATCTCAAGGCTCGGTGAGCAGAGTAGTCCATGGGGATTAGTTAGGGAATGCTTTCCGATGGAGGTTTTCAGCTGGAATTTGAAGGTGATCAGCAGACACTGGACTTTTTCAGCAAGCTTTTCATGAGTTGAAGAGCCAAAAGAAGCCTAGATCATGTAGTCTGTTCCCAGAGAAGTATGAGTTGAGAAGATGGGATCAGAAAGGTTTTGACTAGCCCAGGCTCTGCTTTGTGATAAAGCCTTTCACTTAAAGCCTTTTTACCAAATAACTTTTATAGACACTATTGAACATAAGTCAGAGGGCACTGGCTGGACCCTGAGAATATGTAAGATAGAATTGGGAGCTGGCCTGGTGGCACATGCCTGTAATTCCAGCAACTAGGGAGTTGGAGCCCAGCCTCAGCAATTTAGTGAGACCCTGTCTCAAAAATAAAAAGGCTGGGGATGTAGAGCAATGGTGGAGAACCCACTGGGTTCAATCTCTGGTACGGGAAAAAAAGTCGAGAGGCACAGACCATGTAAAGAGGAGATGTAGAATCATATCAAATACAAAAATAAGGAAGCGTCGCTGATGGTAAGGGCACCGGGGAGAATGCAGAATCCAGAGTGTGTATTCACTAACCTATCTATTTTGTGGTACTGGGGATTGAACCAGGGTTGCTTTACCCCATCCCTTTTTGTTTTTTATTTTGAGAGGGGTCTTGCTGGCCTGGAATTTGTTGTGGTCCTTCTGCTTCAACTTCCCTGAGTAGCCAGGGTTACAGGTGTGTGCCATGTGCCCTGCTCCAGGAGTGATTGGGGTAAGGAGAGCGTCCAGGCTCCTGTGGGTGGAGTGGTCTAGGTTTGATAAACAAAGTTCTCTAAGTTTCTATAACTCTGAATCACATCAAGAAAATCTACATTTGTTTCTAAATGTTATTTGTGGTTTAAGAACATGTCTATCAGGCTCTAGTTTGAGAAATAGAAGCTTAATTATAACAATTTAAATAAAGAATACGCTCTTGTCACTGTTCTCCTTGGGACACAGCATAGCTTGAACAAAAGGTTAAGGTGACTTAATATATAAAGCTTGTCCTCCAGCACTGTCTTGCAGTCTTGATTCCTTGCCCAGCGGTTGAATCTTCTTGAGGCATTTCTGTTATAAATCTAGTTTGGGTTTGTGAGAGTTGAGGTAAGGAGAGAAAAACACTTGTGAGATTGCATAATCCTGAAAGGCAGTTTATGGTCCTAATCTTGGTAGAAAGTCCTTAAATTTTTATCATAGGAAAGAATGAGTAAGGATTCTAGGTGTACTGATAATACACTCCAACAGGAAATCATCTCTAGTAGGAGGAAGCCTTGAGCACCAGGAGACTGGAGCTTTAGGCACTTTGCCTTGTCTTCTGTTGGTTGATCTGTGGAACTTTCTTACACTTAGTCTAAACCACATGGTATAAATTTGACCTGCCTTTCTGCACTTCTAGTGAACCATGTCTTTAATTTTTTTTTTTTTTTTTTTTTGTACTGGAGATCAAATCTAGGGCACTTTACTACTGAACTACAACCCCAGCCCTTTTTATTTTTTATTTTGAGATAGGGTGTCGCTGAGTTGCAGTCACTGGCCCCAACTTGTGATCCTCCTGCTTCAGCCTCCGGAATAGATGGAATTACAGGCTGGGCCGTTGTGTCAGACTCCACATCTCAAATAGAAACAAAGCAACCTGAAAACGTTCACTGAATGAAATGTGGCCCCATTGTTCTGGCTGTTGATAAATAGACACAATAGAGAGACTGATACCTTTTGTGTGTGTGTGTGTGTGTGTGTTATTTTTAAATATACCCTATGTTTTAAATTGTGTGTATGGGGGCTGTAACTGAAAATTGAACCCAGGGCACTCTACCACTGAGCCATATCCCCAGCCCTTTTTATTTATTTTTTAAAATTTGTTCTAATTAGTTACACATGACAGTAGAATGCACTTTTGACACATTGTTCACAAATGGAGTACAACTCCTTCCTCTGGCTGAACATGGTGCAGAGTCCCAACTCCTGTGTAATTACATATGTATACAGGGTAATAATGTGTCCCCAGCCTTTTTTCTATTAGAGACAGAGTCTCCGAGTTGCTTAGGGCCTTGCTAAGTTTCTAAGGCTGGCCTGGAACTTGGGATCCTCCTGCCTCAGGCTTCCAAGTTGCTGGGATTACAGGCGTGCCACTGCGCCTGGCTTAAATGTATTTATTGTATTTTTAATGGATTGGAGGAAACATTTGTCAACTTCACCATTTAAAAAATATTTGAGAAGATTTCCTTTTTTTCAGTGCTAAGGATGGAACCCTGGGCCTCATGCATGCTAGGCAAATGCTCTCTCTGCAACTGAGCTAGATGACAACCCCAGCCCACATTTTTGAAAATATTTTCTCTTATGCTACTTTAGTGATACCACAGCTTTTTACAAAACTGATCTTGACAAGGTTGTAGGTAAACTAGGTAAAATGCAGATCCACATTTTAGGAACTATTTTTCTTTTGCATAGAAAACAGTAGTGTCAACTGAGGTTTTTGTTTTTGTTATCTTTTGCTCAGGTTAAGAAAAAGTACAGATAATAAAAATAATGGATAATGTAAATATACCTCCAGTTAAATTTGTGATACACGCTATCATGTGGCCTCTTTAGTAAGTGATTTATCTTCCTAATTGTTCCTGTAGAGTTGGGGAAACTTCTAAATAATCATAATGATGTCCTTTAATAACCTTGGAGCAGGGCTGGGGATATAGGTCAGTGGTAGAGTATTCACTTAACATGCTTAAGACCCTGGCTTTGATCCTCAGTGCCCCCAGAAGAGTTTCTGTGCCATAACATTTCCTAATTATTATTCATGGTTTATTATTCATTGGGTTTGCATTCCTAGAATGTACCAGCAGATTTATTTCTATAGTACTGTTTTTTTCTCATGTAGTAAAAAGTTCTCTCAATCCTCTTGTTTTGTGGCAAGAGACACATCCATTTCTTTTTTCCCTTTTCTGCCAGCATTTGTAAAAGGACACATCTACTGTGAAGCCATACAGTTTTACATTGTCCTTGTCATAGTAGTTAACCTAGAGAAAAAAATGTTGACCAAAGAATTTCATCCAAAAACTTTTGCAAAGGCAAGAAGCACTAAAGTGTTAAGTTATTAGGTGTTACTCCCATTCACACATCAGCGGAGGGGCCAGCCTGCGGATGAGTCAGAAAGCACTAGACTCTACTGTGATACCAGAATCTAGAAAATGGAGGAGAAACCATGGATTGATAACATCAGAAGACTGATAGGAAGGGTGTTCCCTCACTTTATTTACCTTGAAATGTGAAGGTGTGACTGAGCTTTCTGAAAGCTTTAGGTGTGAGTCACCTTATTTTCTTGACAAATGTTAGTATTTATGTTCCAGGAATGTATTTTGGAAACAGTTTTAATTATTAGAGGTAAGAAGTAGTAAGTTTTTATTTTAATTTAGTTTAAAACCAGTGAGTGGTATGGCTGTAAGCAAGACAGGCGGACGTTTTAGATAGAGCAAAAACAATGGGTCCAGGTAGCTTTGGGCCTTTTGGGAAATGAACTGACATATTTGTAAACTGTTCACAATGTCACGATGGGGACTTTCTCTGTGGTGCTTGTGGGTGTCCCAGTGGTGTATCAGTATTTCCTGGTAATAATGGGTGGTTGAAAGAGTGGTTGGCAAACATGGGTTTAAAAAGCACGTGCTCTACCACTGAGCTCTACCTGCAGCTAAAACCTCTACTTGGGACTTACTGAGATTTTTGTTTGTGTTTTTTGGGCGAGGTGCTGGGCATGGACCCCAGAGCCTCGGAAATGCTAGGCAGGTGCTCCGCTGAGCCCTACCCCTAGCCACTTAACTGAGCCCTTATTATGTCTGTAAGAGGGTGATTCAAGTTAGGTAGCATTTCCCAAGCTTAAGTGACTGGGACACTTTTCAAGGAAGGCTGATGAACCTTTCTTGCGGATCCCACATTAAGTTCCAGATTCCGTTGGCGGACTGGGTGAAGGCAGTCCTCGATCTTGACTAAGAACACTGCAGTGAACTGGCCTTGGGAGGGCAGAGGTGTCAGGAGGCAGTCTTGAAAGTCACAACAGGAAGATGAGGGGAGACACTGATGGAGGTGTCTTCCTTCTTATCTGTGATCCCTCAGTGCCTGCCTGCAGTAATTATCCCCTTTGCCCACTAATTAGGGAGCTTCTGAAGCAGGCCCGAGCCTTGCAATCCCCAGGGTCCAGCACCTGCTAAGCACGTAAACACTTCTTGCACTAATTGGCCAGTGCATTTGATGTATTAATAAAGCCTGTTTCTACCTTAACACAGGGAAGGTTCTTATCTCTGTACTTTTTACTTGGGGCAGTGCTGGGCTCCAGCCGGGGCCTCGCTGGGCAGGCACACCAGCTGGGCAGGCACAGCAGCGCGGAGCATGGCCGCCGCCTGCCTGTTCCTCACGTGGTGCCCCCACTTGCATCAGACCTTCCTGTCAAAAAGCTCAAAGTCCTTTTTATATATCTTGCTATTGATTCTTGCCACATCCCATGAGATGGTAGTTCCTTTTACGGGAAAAGAAACTCAGATGCTTTCTACTAGTGGTCGGAATAAAGGCTGAGCATGTCTCCGTCCTCCCCGGCCCGGCAGAGTGAGGAGAGCACTGCTGTGGGTCTGGACTCCAGGCAGGCTCTGGGCTGAGCCACTGCAGGGCAGCGCCCAGGGAGGCCTGGGCACCGTGGAGTGGGCGAGGCCTGCGTCTCTGAGAGTGCCCTTCAGAGACCAGCAGTGGGGCATAGTCTTGTGCCATTCTTCTGTTTTGGAATCTGATAATGAGGCTGCTGACGAGAGACCATCTTCTTTATTAAGGGGAACACTGCTGTGCTTGTGTGCTTCTGTGCCGTGTGTTTTCAAACTGGGTCCCTCTGTTACTTTTTTTTTTTTCCTAAAATCACTATGTTGTGTTTGTAGTTTGGAGCTGAGTTTCGTCGGTTTTCACTGGAAAGATCAAAACCTGGAAAATTTGAGGAGTTTTATGGCCTCCTGCAGCATGTTCATAAGATACCCAATGTGGAAGTGCTGGTGGGCTACGCCGACATCCACGGGGACTTACTGCCCATCAATAATGACGACAACTATCACAAGGCCGTGTCCACAGCCAACCCGCTGCTTAGGATCTTCATACAAAAGAAAGGTAAGTATTGTTTAGAAAAATTCTTAGAAATAGAAGTAGTGTATTTCCCCCATTTGATTGGATACACAGACTTGCTACAAACTTAGTGAATAAAGATTCTATGTAAATCCTTTTTTTTTTTTTTTTTTGGTACCAGACATTGAACCTGGGGGCGCTTAACTACCGAGCCACATCCCCAACCCTTTTTTAATATTTTATCTAGAGACAGGGTCTCGCTAAGTTGCGGATGCTGGCTTTGAACTCGTGATCCTTCTCAGCCGCTGGGATCACAGGTGCTCACCACCATTCCGGGCTGTGTGAATCTCTTTACCATGTTAATGGACAAGTAGGTCAAAACGTGTGATATTGTTGGTTTAATTAGTATTTTTACACTTAGACATTGAGTGTACTTTAGAAAATTTGTTTTTAAATGTTTTTGTTTTAACGTCTTAGGCTTTTTTAAAAATAGAAACTAGAAATTTATGAAATCTTCACCTTCTTTTTTTGTAATATTTATTTTTTAGTTCTAGTTGGACACAATACCTTTATTTTATTTACTTATTTTTATGTGGTGCTGAGGGTCGAACCCAGGGCCTCGCACTTGCTAGACGAGTGCTCTACGGCTGAGCCCAGCCCAGCCCCATCTCAGCTTCTTGACTGGATTGCTGTCCGTGTGGAAAGACGGTGATGAGAGCTTGGCAGTTGGGTGGTGACCCACTGTAAGTGCTCTGTCACCCACTTCGTCTTCCAGCTCTCCGTGTCATTACAGGGTGGAGGTAATTATGTGTGCTGCTGGGCCTCGAACCCAAGGCACTCGATCCTGAGGTCTCTGAGTTGCGAAGGGTCTTGCCCAGGTTGGCCTCATGCTTGTGGTCTTCCTGCCTTAGCCCCCAAGTGGCTGGGATTGCAGGCTTGGGCCCCATAGTCAGCTGAATATGATATCTTGTGGGTGACTGCAGATTACTCAGTTCAGAGCAGCGCCCTGGCTTACAGTAGGCACCCAGGAAATGTCTTCTCTCTTTTCCTTTTTAGGATGCTTGTCACAGAAATAGTATAAAACTAGTTAATTGTCTGGAAAATGAGGTAGCAAGTCATGGATTCAGAGATGTGTAAGCGCAGTCTCGTAAAAGAACATTTGCTGTGACTGTCTGGCAGGCATTTTCAAATGTTTTTGGAGTCCCAAAATTTTTCAAACTTTATAGCCTCCTATGTGTGTGTGTGTGTGTGTGTTTGCACACAAAGTGGGCAGGGTAGGCATCATGGTGTGTGCCATTTCTGTTTAGTAAGAAGTTTGAGGTTTTCTAAGAAGCCAGCATGAGAGCGTGGAGCCCGTGTTGGGATAATTGAGCCTTTAGAACATAAAGGTTGGTGAACGAACCAGAAAGTGGTTTGAGAAAAGGGTGGTGATCACCCTGAAGGTAAAACTTTGTTTATTTGGACCACTCCGCTTTGAGATCCCACTGATAGTGTATCTTTGCTTTTCTGGGTTTGGAGAGACTAAAATCCATCAACAAATAAACCTCCAACTTCTGTCCCTGTCACTTGACTTACTGACAGAATCTTTCAGAATCTCCTGAGGCAAATGTCAGAGCTGTTCAGCTGGGGTGTAGCGTGGCCAGGACCTGGCCTTGGGAAGATGGTTCTGGCTGCTCAGGATGGGCCAGAAGGGTAGTAGCCTTGGGACAGAGAGCCAGGAGCAGGTGTTAGACAGCAGACCCACCGTGAAGCTGCCCAGGAGGGGGAGAGGCGTGGAAAGCCCTGGACAAAGGTGCACCGCGAAGCGGCTGAGTCAGGGCGTCACACCGGCTGGTGCAGAGAAGGCTGCGTCTGGCTGCTGGGGCCGAGTCGAAAAGCAGTGGAGGGTGAAGGAGAGATTGATTTAGGAAAGAAAATTTGGTCCTAGGACAAATAATCTATCAGGCTGATGGGTCGAACATGCCGTCCAGAAGACTGGGGCCAGGATGAGGACCTGGAGCCTGCTGGACTTGGAGGTCCTGGAACGGGGCAGGTGAGAGTGGGGGAGTAGGTGGCGGGCCTCTGCAGTGAAGACCAGGCTAGGACCCTGGAAGGCGAGACCAGGATGCTGGAGGACGACAGCGCGTCCAGGAGTGAGGAGGACAAAGCAGTTGAAGGGAACTGGTCATCTTAGGCTAATTAACTTGGGTCATTTTGGTTGAATAATGATCTTCTCTTATTAGCAGTTAAAATTTTTATTAAAAATTTAGTTGCTGCTTATTCAAATGCAGAATGGTTTTTAAACTACAACTATCAGACAAAGTTTTGCTGGATCATCCCCTTTGTTAGCGAAAGATTGTCAGTCAGGTTTTGAACCGTCACATGTTTTACTCCTAGAAGATTAACACATTCATGCCCAAGGAGTCCTATCATCTTTTAAAGTTATCATGCCCGGTGTGGTGGCCTCTAATCCCACTGGCTCTGGAGGCTGAGATAGGAGGATCTTGAGTTCAAAGCCAGCCTCAGCAACTTAGCAAGGCCCTAAGCAACTCAATGAGGCCCTGTCTCTAAGTAAAATATAAGAAAGGGCTGGGGATGTGGCTCAGTGGTAAAGCACCCCTGAGTTTAAATTCCCGATACCAAAAAAAAAAAAGTTATCTTCTGCTATTTCCTTTTAAAATTTTTACTTACTGCTTGGTGTGATCTTTTTTTTTTTTTTTTTTTTTGTGGTGCTGAGGATCGAACCCAGTGCCTCATACATAGCAGACGAGTGCTCTACCACTGAGCCACAACCCCAGCCCCTTGGCATGATCTCTGTTGAGACCTATGAATGTTTCTATTTTTGTTGTGGCCATCCTAGCTTAGAAGCATGTTTATATGTGAGCAAGTGTTTCTGTGTGGTAAAGGTCGGAGGTCTCCTAGAGCTTGATTTAGAGAGAGATGAGCCGTCCGGGCCAGGTGTGGCGGTGCACACCAATCTCGGCAACTCTGGAGCCTGAGGCGGGGGATCACAAGTTCCAGGCCAACCTGGGTAACTTAACAAGACCCTGACCCAAAATAAAAAATGAAAAGGGTGGGGATGTAGCTTAGTGGTAGAGCGCCCTTGGGTTCTGTCCCTGTACTGCAGAAGAGTGGGGGAAGGGGAAACAGGCAGTCCGTTCAGCAGGAAGGGTTTTGTGGTCCTCCAGATGGAACCTAGGCCCCTGCCTATGCTAGGATAGTGCTTATTTGTTTTTTAGTTTTCGGTGGACACGACATCTTTATTTTATTTTTATGTGGTGCTGAGGATCAAACCCAGTGCCCCGCGCATGCCAGGCGAGCGCGTTACCGCTTGAGCCACATCCCCAGCGCCGAGATTTTTAGTTTTGAGAATATAAGTATGGTGACCCAGGAGGCTGACACGGGAGGATTGCAGGTATGAGGCCTGCCTCAGCAGCTTAGTGAGGCCCTGACCTAAAATAAAAATTGAAAGAAAAACAAAGCTAGTTAGGGGGATCTGAGGATGTAGCTCAGTGGTAAAGCACCCTAGTTTCAATCCCCAGTACTAAAACATTTTAAATGTAAATGTAATGCAAATATGACTTCAGCAAAAAATGAAAGTAGGTTGGTTCATTCATTCCTGTTTAAAAACTCCTTGATGGCAGCCAGGTGTGTTGGCACATGCCTGTGATCCCAGCAACTTGGGAGACTGAGGCAAGAAGATTGTAAGTTCCACGCCAGCCGCAGCAACTCAGTGAGGCCCTAGCAACTTAGCAAGACCCTGTCTCAAAGTAAAAAATAAAAGGGGCTGGGGATGTGGCTCAGTGGCTAAGTGCCTGGGCTCAGCCCGGGCTGCCTGCCTTCTGTCCCTCCCTGGTGCAGTTGCTGGCCCTGTGCTGGGCTTGCTCCTGCCTGGCTGCCCTGCTGAGCTCAGCCAGCTTTGTGGGGGTCTCTTCTGACCACCCTCCTACCTCTCCCGGTTTCCCTGTGAAGACCTGAAGCGCGTCTTTGAGCGTGCTAGCTTGTGTTTTCTGTCCTGTTTACCGCCACGTCCCAGCATCTGAATTGGTGACAGACTTACACTGTGCGGTGTGATTCATGCCCGTGCTTTTTTTCTTTTAAACAAAGCCGAACAGATGGTTAAGTAGAAGGCTGATTTTATGAAAACCTTAATGAACAGTGAATTCAGGAAACTAATAGAAAAGGTGACATTAAGTACAGTTACATTTGACTGCTTAATTACAGCACATTCTGTTTCCTTAGCTGTTGATATTCCAATTAAGGATCAATTGGGCAGCAGTTGTACTTGATGTGGTACCAGGGGAGTTTTTTTTAAATGATTATTTGTGTGTGTGTGTGTGTTGCTGGGGATTGAACCCAGGGCCTTGTATATGCGAGGCAGGCACTCTACCAACTGAGCTATATCCCCAGCCGAAATGTGATTTTTAAAAAAAGGAAATTCCAAAACCATTTAGATTTTGAAACCATGTCATCTTTTAAAATTTGATACTCTACTAAAAATGTGTCTTTGAAGTGAAAGCTAGTAATTGAATGTGTAAACTACTTTATAGACCCAATCCAAGATAGCATTGTTGCATATCTTGAAGTTTTATGTTTTATAACAATTTATTTAAAGAAAAAACACTCCATTTCGTGGGCTGTTATCACAGAAACAAAAATAAATCAAAAAACATATCTTAAAAGTTATTTTCACAAAGAAGATTCTCAACTCTTCGACAAGCGCCCCTGTTGGAGCATTACAGTTCATCCTGATGTATTTGGGAGAAGAGAAGGTACAAAATAATTTTCTCTCTCATTTTTTATGCTACAACTATGCACTGAACAGTTTTAGGAAAATATTCTTTTAAAAAATACCCTTTTTTTTTTTTTTTAAGACAAAACCCCAGGTCATTTCTGTAGGATGGGATACAGCCAGGAAAATGGGTTTTTTCAAAGTTTCCCAGTTGTGATCAGCCAAGTCGGACCCAGTAACGTGTCAGAGCACCCCCAGGCCTGCCTCATCTAGCCAGAACATCTGCACCCAGACTTTTTGCCGCATCACTGTCTGTTTTTACATATCCAACAAG